CCTGGAGTTACATTTACTGCCACAGAAACAGCTGCCTGATCCCCTGACTGTGGAGTCCCCTATCACTATTGCTGTAAGGGTGGCAGAATTGCTTCTCTAAAGCATATTGTTGAACCAGATGGATTTTTATGGCAGTTAATAAGAAATTCATGGTCACTAAGATAAGTTTTCAATTCAAGTTATTAATTGAATTTAAATTCTCCCAGCTGCATGCATGTGTAGAGTATTAACCTGAGCATCTGGGCTACTAGCCCAGTGACAGCACCTGGATGTTACCAGCTCCGTCTTCTACAGCAGGTCCAGGAAACAGATCATTAGTCAGCTTTCTACTGACAGTGAATCTGCTTGATGAAGAGACTCACCTTAAACAGAGTTGAGTCTACTCAGTTTCTGATTGAGACTTGAGTGTTATGCTGCACTGATTTCCAGACTGAATCTATAATTCTATTTGATTGATGCTTCTGAGACGTGTTTACTGTTTTATTGTTCCTTCTGCATTTTCAAAAACAATGGAGGCAGAAATAAGCAGATCAGGAAGAGTTTGATTTCTCAGAAGACTGAGTGAAACAATGAGGCAATTTCATTCTTGTTCTGGTCTTGATGGATTGAAGTTAGTTGTGTTTTATTCCATTGTCAGTATCCCCACTTCCTCAAGAGAGATGCAAACAAACTACAGATAATGCTACAGAGGAGGAAAAGATACAAAAACCGGACAATTCTGGGTTACAAGACGCTGGCACTGGGGGCAATCGATATGGCGGAGGTAAGTTTTCACTGTCCAACATTATCGAGAACTGCTACAGATTCCCTTGTCATTCCTTTTCTCAATCACAGGCTGGCCTGCCTGGATACATTGTCACTTCCAATCTCATATTCTCCTCTTCCTCTTGTGAAAAACTTGAATCATTCACTCTTGCAATACTGTGGTGTTCTCATTCTTCATTCATTGTCAGGTCATGCAGCATCCCACAGATGGGGGACAAGTACTTGGACTACACTCCAACATGAAAGATTCTTCAGTGCGGGTTGCTGATATCAGTATCTACTCTCTCTCCAGCCAGCCAATTGACCATGAGGATAGCAATGTACAAACAGGGCCTAAGACAAAAGCCTCAGGTACATAACATGGTTAAGTGAGTATGTGGATTTAGTCCTTAATATTCACATTTGTGTCAAGGTATTTATCAAATAGGTAAAGCATTTCAGACGGGTAATCTTATGGTGGATATGACAGCAATGTGAATTTCCTCAAACAATTGGAAATGTCCAACTAACTCAGGAGCAAGTTCTCTGTGAAAAACAGAGGTCATAACCTGTATACAAGCAAATACACACAGAAAGCGACAGGGTCAGTACTCTCCCCAGCACTTAGAGAGTAATTCACCCAGTACAGAGAGAGAGTAATTCACACAGCACTGAGAGAGAGTAATTCACCCAGCACTGAGAGGGAGTAATTCACCCAGCCCTGAGAGAGTAATTCACCCAGCACTGAGAGGGAGTAATTCACCCAGCACTGAGAGAGAGTTATTCACCCAGCACGGAGAGGGAGTAATTCACCCAGCAGGGAGAGGGAGTAATTC